TGATTTTTCTATTTATTTTATTTTATTCTTTTGTATACGTTTATCTATTTGTTATTTTGGATATTTTTCTATTAATTTTTCTATTTTTCTATTAATTTTCATAAGACCTTAAATCTCTCTTTTCTTTTTGTTTTTTGTATTTTATTGATTACTTTGTATATTTAGGAAAATCTTTAATTTTAAATATCTAACATTTTTTTGATAAAAAATAAAGGAACACAAATGGGATCTGTATATATTAACCTATATTTTACGCTTTATTTTATTCTTCCAATAATTTGTTTTTCCGTTAACATACATTACTTTTTAGTTATATAGATATAGTTTTTGTATGCTTTAAAATGTGGTGGAGTGTTTATTTTATTTACTTTATAAAATCCAAATTGTAGAACGAAATAGTGGTTAATTTTCTCGTAAAAAGTATTATCTGTATTATCAATACAAAATCGAATTAAAGAATTAAATAAATATTTACATTTTAGGATTAACTTCCGTATTTTCTATTTTTCTTAAATACATTTTTCTAACTTTTCTTTTTTCTTATACTTATTTGTTGTGTATTTCATACATATTTCTAATCTTAATAATTATATATATATTTTTTTTTATATAATATTCTTTAACACATGTTTTCTTGCCAGTTTCATAATAACATCAAGTCGAGTTTTCAAGTTTTCGTGAGAGCAACAGATATTGGATGCTCCTCTGCCGCTGCGCAGGTAGCAGCGCCGTCGACGTCGGCAGAGGCCGCACACACACACACACATTCACATGTGTGCTGTCCATTGACGTTCGTCGTCGTCTTTTTTTCTGCTTTGCTTTTTGCTCGCCAATCAAATGGGGCGGGGCTTAAATCGTTTGCTTCGCTTTTTTCTTCTGTTTTTTTTTTTTTTTTTGTGTCTTTTGCCCTCTGCCGCTGCCTCAGTCGACGTCGCTGCCGCTGCGCTTCTTCTGCCTCTTTTTATGTGACACTTGTCTGTGTTTGTAAGTGTGTGTGTACGATTTGGTTTTGGTTTTTATTATGCGAATTATCGAAAATTGAGAGCGCCTGTCATCTGAGCGCTTTTTTGAGCTTTTTGCGTTGCTCAGACCGCCGCTCTCAGTGGAGGGTTAACCAAGCGATCGAGGGTTAAGGATACCACCAATTAGTTTTTATAAACACATAATTTAAATATTATTTGAGATTGAATTTGACACATTAGTTTTAAATGCCATGCAGTTTTGGTTTATGGAATTTGTACATTTTAAGAAAGCCAAATAAATGAAAATTTAACTCCTGATTGTTTTGTTGTCAAAACACATTTTTTTAGAAGAACCTGTTTAACAATATTAAAATATAAATTCAATTTTAGATACATTTGTGTCAAATCCTAAGACAATTTAATCGAGAAATTCTTAAACTATTTTATAAATAAAATACAATTAATCTGTGTTCAAAATTAGCGGGTTTGTGTTTAAAAGAGCTACTTATGTTAAGTAATAACAATAAAAATATCCCAACGGCATCAACATACTTCTTAAATATTTTTGCAAATTCCTGAAGATATAAAGGCATGAAAATAACGAAAAACTTATCCAAATCGTTGTCAAAACGATACAATTTATCAATTGAAATGGCAACACAAATATTAAGTTTATGAAAAAACATTAGATTATCAAAAACCAGAATTAATAAAAACAATCAAACCGAAGGAAGAAAAAAAATACAACTAAAAAGGTAACTCGCTTACTGCTTAATAAATTGGGATTCTTCATACAAACTTAATCGGCTCAACAAGTTCGAAAACGTTTCGAAAACGAGTTCGAACCCCTTGCAACTGTGACTCAAACGAGAATGTAGGTGAGTGAGTGAAAATTTTGAGAGTTTTTGGATCGAGTGGTTTTTTGGTTTTAGCTGATTTTAATCTAGTTGGAATTTTGCTATTCGGCGGAAACACTTGTTTTTCAAGGGAATTTTGTTGGATTTTATTTATTTACCACTTTTATATGAGCTTTTGTAAAAGAATAACGTTACTAAAATAATGAAAAAATAGATAACAAGTTGATTTACTTTCAATATTTTTAATATATTTTTATTTTATTAAGCAAAGCAAAGTAATCCTGTTTTTGGACTATTTGAGTTTTGCAATATTTCTACACTTCACTTGCAGTTATGTATTTAATAATATATATTGACTCTGGGTCAGAATTTGATGATAATAGTAAACCATTCTTTTTATCATTTTGTAAGATATACTGAGTTGTATTAAAAAAAAAAACCTATTGGTTAATCCAATAATATACCTTTAAGGAAAAACGACCCAGAGCAATAAAATGAAATGAGTAATTTTTTTCATTTTTTTCGACGCCGACGGCGGAACCGAGCATCGTTTTTTGTCTTCGTGTAGGTGGCGCTGCCCTTTCTCTCGGCTCTCCCGTTATTTGCCAGCCGACGACAAAGTCCCCGAGCAGATTCAAGCCCCCAATATTCCCCTATACCCCGTACACCCCTCCTTACACCCCATATACACCATTATCCCCCCCTCGCCAAAGATTTTCTGCGATTTTCCTCTCAGACTGCAGCAACGCATCTGCGACTGCGACTTGGGTTCTCAGTCTCAGTTTAGGTGTAAGCCATAACCCCTTGGAAATCAAAAAACCCCCCACCCCCCACACACTCCCTCTTTCGCCATCCACCTACAGAAAACATGGGTTAAGAGCAAAAATAGGGGCGGGAAAAACGGGGGACGTCTGCATTGCACTTGGCGCTTCGATACAATTTGAACTTTTCTTTATGCGAAAATCCCGCAACGGGACAGCGAAATTCCAGGGGTGTGCGGAAAAAACACAAAGTAATGGGTGGGGAGGAGGGGGGGGGGAATGGATGGAGGATACTCGCCCATTTAATATTCCATGGATTTTGAAGAGCCAACAGCGGCAGTTGGGATTACAATTTAAGGTGCATCACTGAATGCCAGGACTTTACTTTAATCAAAAGTTGATTTTACAAACGTTCAATGACCACAATAAATTCTAAGGAATACTTTTTATTTCCCATAGTGATTACATTGCTTGTTAATTTTTAAATAAAAATAAAATAAAATTATTTTATATATTTATTTATTTAATATACTACTAAGATCTTAAATGTCTTTAAGTTGCATTAGAATTATAAGATTAATATGAACTATTCAAATATTTTACTTGTGAAAAGGAATAATTGTGTTTATATGCATACAATATTTTTGAATACAATAAAAATTACTAATAAGAAAAATAGTACTAATCTAATGTTACTAACTTTGTTTTTAAACTTCTTAACTTAAAGACATATTTGATTAGCATCCGGTTCTATTTTATTTATTGTCTTTGTAATATAATTATAAAAAAAACATTATCTCACCATTTTTGATGAATAATTATTATTGGAACCATATTTTAATACTTCTGCACTTGTAAAAAAAAAAAAAACTTAAAAAACTTAGCTGAAATTATGAACTGCTTTGGGGTCTTTCAAAATTACCAAAAGTTCTGATTTGATTCTTAAAGTGTTTCCTTGCTATTTGAAACACCTTGAAACAAAATATTGAAAAGTCCTTGGCAATTTGCAAAACCCCAAAGCAGACTTAATATTAATTTGAGGTAAGACACCCCCTTCCCCCTGAAAACCACATGCAACAAAAAATTACAAGTTTCGAAAAATCCCTCTGCCGGCGACGCAGTCAACGTTGCACTCAATCCTGCGCTCAATAAACAGCAACAACAAACTGGCGGGAGAGAAGAGAGCGCCGCCCGACTCCGACTCGTTCGTTTCCAATAAGAAAAGCCGCGTGCGAGCAAGAGGGCACCAGCCAAAAGTGTCTGTGAATGAATGAATTTCAATATATGCAACTGACATGCGGCGGCGCAGAAAAATGCTCAAAAATAAGAGTAAAAAAAAAAAAAAGGGAGACCCCAAACCCTCCCCCCCTCCAAAAAAAAAAGTGAGAAAATCAAAAAGCTATTGAAAGAAATCAAAAAAGCAGTGGTAGTAGGGAAAATTGAGTGAGATTCCACCCAGAGAGGGCGAAAGCGAGAGCGAGAGAGAGAGAGAGAGAGTGCGAGCGCGCGCTCGTATTTTGATGCGTGTGTGTGTGTGTGTGTGTAGCGCCTCTGTCCGCAGCCGCTGCGCTGCCGTCGCTCGCCGCGGCAGAGGGTTGTCGGCGCTTCGTTAACGTTCGATTTGGATTTGTTCAGTCATCAACAGCATTCGTGACTGGCAACGTCGCTTCGTTCGTCCCGTCGCCGAAAGAAATCGAGAATTTCAGAAGATATTTTTTGGATTCTACTTCTGCCCCATCAAGCGGAGCTTCTTCTTCTTCGCCGCGGCGCGGGTGTGTGTGCGTGTGTGCCCCCTTCTCTCTCTGGTCACTCTGTCTGGTGTGCGTGTGTGTGTGTGCAGAAGAATCCCCATACCCCATACCACCCCACCCCCACAACAACAACAACAACTGCAACAACAACAACAACAACAACGAAAACAACAACATAACAACAGCAACAAAACAAAATGTTACAACAAATTATTAAGTAAATCAAAGAATGCATCTCGCTTGCCAAGAAGAAGAAACGTAAAGATCATAAACAAACAAAAATCACACACAACCAAAAAAAAAAAAAAAAACAACAACAAAACAAGAAGGACTAAACGAACGAGAAACTGTTTATTATTTTTTTCAAGTGTATTTTTTGTTCGCCAAAAAATATGTGCGCGTGTATGAGTGTCGAGTGTAAACAACAACAACAACAACAACAGCATCAACAACAACCGCAACAAGCGCAACAACAACGACAGCAAACATGTGCAAAATAAGCCAAAGCCAAAAAGCAACAACATAATAATAATAATATTAATATGGCTTAAAAATATCACACATACAACAACCACAACAAAAACAAAAACAAAACAACGACAGGCAACAAAAACCAAAACAACTACAAACCCTCACCATTCAACAACTACAACAACAACAAAACCCCCCACACAACAACAACATAAAAAAAACCCCATCCCCCCACAAAAAATAAAAAATCAAAATATAAAATATTTATTTTTCGGAACTAAAGTGGAAGAGATGAAAAGAAACATACCCATAATAATAATAATAATAATAACAACATAACACACATAAGTTGGCTTATTTATGAATTTTTTTGGGCACGTAACAGAAACATAATACTTAAGGTGTAAATGTGATGACTAAAAAACAACAAACAAAAACCAATATATTTAATAACCGACTAACAAAGATATCGAAACGACAAAAGAGCAGAACAAATAATGCCAGGCCTTATTAGCCCCAAATTGGTAGAACCAAAACACTGAGAGAAAACCAAAAACGGCGAACAAACTGAGAATTATTGAATTAACCCAAGAAAGCCCACGAATGCAGCCAACATTGCCACAAGCCGCTGGGACAGCCGATATGGATCTGACGGCTGTTCAATCAATCAACGATTGGTTTTTCAAAAAGGAGCAAATTTATTTATTGGCACAATTTTGGCAACAGGTAAGAAAAGTTGGCACAAACTCGGCACAAAATGTGTTGCTCAATTAGAATCAAGTTTGGTGCTTTACAAGTGGTTAGCTGTAAAATTCAACAGATTTAGTTTATAACTGACTATTCAAGTGAATTTCTATTGAATTAAATTAATATAGCCTTTCAATTACAAATCTATAGCATTACTTCTGTAATAAGTGGTTTTAGTTCTACAAACAAATTTTAAAGGATTAAGTAGATAGGATAAAATTCCACAAAATAAAATGTGACTTTTAAAATAGATGGTTTGAAATTGGTTATTGTGAATTTAGTATTTGGTCAATCAAAACAAATAAACATTGGTTTCTCATTCAATTTCAATTAAATGAAATAAAAAAATCCAAACAAATTTAAAAAGCTAAAATTACACCTGTTTTATGTGGTTCTGAAAGTGCTTTTTCTGTTGGTTTTGCTTGTGAATGAAATAAATGTGATTCATGAGAAGAGCTTCCCAAAAATCGTGACACTTCACCTGATGCAAAGTTGTGTCTGAAATTTCTGAAATGTAAACATTTTCAAAACAAATTCCTTGCATTTTTCCACACAAATAAATATTCTCTGGTATTTCGTGGACTAAAAGGTGTCTTATAAGAATACAAATAAATTTGTTTTTCTGAAAAGTGATTCAACCTCAAATAGAAGTGCAATTTTAGTGAAAAGTCTAGAGTGAAATTTTAATGAATGAAGTTGATTGAATCAGTATAGTTTTGAATATTCCATGTGGGTTAAATTGAAAAAAAAAACTAGAAGATTACAAATCGTATTTGATTTTATTGAAATGCAATTATCAAATAAAAATAAAGCAAGGCAAAGTTCATTCACAATTATTATTGCTGATAAAATGTGAATCGTTTGCAAGTTCTATGACATTTGTTGCATTTGCCTGAAACTCCCACAGCTGACAACAATAACCCTAGACCGCCCTAGCGCCGAACCGCCCACGTTAACCCCCTGAAGCCCCCATACTTTTGCCCCGCCAACTGGTTAACTTAACTTAAGTTAACTAATTGAGTTTGCGTGTCTATGGCAAATGTGCTTTTATTGTTGCTACCCCGTTATTGTTGTCTAATTTCTTGTTGTAAATTTATTTATTTTTTTCCGCTGTTATTGATTTCTGAAAAATTTGTTTACATAAAACAAAAGGAAAAATGCAAAGTGCAACAAGCAAATTATAAGTGAACAATTTATTGCTTGAATAACTTTTTTTTTTTTTTACTGCTTCCTTTTTTTTTTATTTTTCCTAATTTTTTTTTGTGTTTTGTATTTTTGCTACTGCTGCGATCCGGTGAACCAAAAAAGTTAAAGCCAGACAAGATCGGCCAGACAGGGGATAATGCTGAAGGGGCGTGGTAAATCGGGGGGCGGGGGCCAGACGACGCTGAGAATTTCGCTGGCCAAATGCCAGACTCCGAACAAATAAGGCGGCAAAATAACATTAGAAGCGAGGGGAGGAACAACTGCCAGACCAGACATGGAAATATCAACTCATATATATATTTTTGAATATTTCTGAATATAAAAATACTCTCTATATGGTTTTGGCAAGTTAATTAGGTTGCGTCGACAGCCGCGGAATTTTTAATTGGAGTTTCTTCTTCGATTGATCCTGAAAAGCAAAAGAGACGGACAGCATAGACAGCATAGACAGAAGAGACAGACAGACAGGCAGGAAAAGTTCCCGGAAAATCTAGACATTTGCCGTCGGCGAATGGCGTTTTTTTTTTTTTCACTCCGCAAATATTTTCCTACATGATGTGGCAAATGCAAACTGCAATCAATAAAACTTAAATAAGCAAAACCAAAAACTAACCAATCGACTTCTTCCCGAGAACCACAACAAAGACAAAAGGCAGAGAAGCCGCAGAACTTGTTAGGATTGTCTAGATTGACAGTGGCGTACGCAGGATTTTTTTCAGTGCGAAGGGGGGTTTTTACGGTTAAGAAGAACAGATTTTTTGTAATCTTCAAGTAAAGTTGTTTAATGTATTTATTTTTGAGTTAGTTTCTTTGCATTTGTATTTTCTTGTTTTGTTATTTGATGATTTAATAGATGCTTTTTCTAAAAGGAAATTTTATTACAAACTTGAAAAAGCAACTTGCATACGCCCCTGACTTGGTAACTATTTTAACCCGCTTCTAACGATCATTTGATGGCTCAAAAGCTTTGAGACTCTCATAATTTTGAAGACCCCTCCAACCGATGATCGATTGTGATCAATGAATCAATATTTGAAAGGTTTCGTCACGCCTTCGCAGGCTGATCAACATACACAAATGTATTTTTGTGCGAGCGCTTAACAAAATTAGAACTCGATCCATAAATATCATATCTCCAGGGCATTCAAAAAAAAAAAAAAAAAAAAAAGGTTATTCAACATATTGTAATTTGCTGACCAAAAATAGAAGTTTATTAAGTTAATTAAACAGACCGCAGACACAGTCGTCTACAGCTGTCCAAATGAGTTGATGGAATACTTTTTATAGTATTCCTTATTTATTTATTTACATTTCAAGAACAGCGCGCGAAAAAATTGACACAAATCGAAATCGAAAAAGCAACAATAAAAAGGTGCTTGATTAACACAAAGTTTTGTCATTAAATATATAGAACGGTGGCACCGAAAAACGATCACAAAAAAAAAATCAGAAAACAAGAGCAAGAACAGAACAAGAAGCAGAGAACCAAAGAAGAACCAGAACTTAAAAAGAGCAAAATTAATTTCCGTAATGCAATCTATAAACTTGACCCATTAACATCGAACAGATTTTTTTTTTTATTTTTTTTTTTCGTGCGTTTCTACAATTACCAAAAACCGAAAACCGAAAACTAGACGAAAGATGAGGTTTTTTGTCATTGATTTGTGCTGATCCAAACTAGAAAAATGGAAATGGAAATGGAAAGACAACAAAACCGAACTAATTGCCAAATGCATTTGCTGACTTAAAAAAAAAAAAAAAAAAAAAAAATCAACAAAATTAAAATGAAAAGATGAGAAAAAATCGAGTTGGGGTTCCGTTTTTAATCGAATTGAAACCGGTTTATAGGGTAGTCACCACCACCATCAGCACCATCACAGATGCAGATACGGATACGAATGCGGATGCGGATAATATACCGGGGACGAAACGACGAGCATTGATAGTTTATAAAGTTTAATTTTCAAAGATGGCGTCGATGCCTCCGGTCGAAGGCATTTGCATATGCCGAAAATGAGCAGCCCAAGGGTTGTCCTTTAAGCCCTTGGAAACACACCATTTACCATTCAGGAGACACCAGATACCATATAGCAGATACCAAATAGCAGCAAATTTCAAATAGCAGATACAGTATACTGTATACTGTATACAGTATAGAGATAGAGATACAGATCAGATCGGTGGAATGAGCGGCGTGTGTCGTATAATTTTTAGCGTTTTAAGTGCAATTTACTCGCTCTCTGGCACAGAAGCCAGCTAATGAGTCAGAGACCTCGGGAAAAAAAAGGGGTTATACCAAGAATCACAGACCGAATTCAACCACCCACACATAGTGCACATACACAAGCACACACACAAGCACACACTCACTCACACTCACACTCACACTCATACGATATACGACATACGAAAATATTTCAGTCAGTTCAATCGTTCGATCGCTGGAAAGATATGTTAATATAATTAAATTAATTTGTCAGCACGGAAATTAAAACAGAAGCGGCGGCAGCAAAAACAGCAACCGAAATATCCATCCACATATCGTATAGTATCTATAACAACGCGACGAACGAATAACGAATCGAATCGAATCGAAATGAAACCAAACGAAACCAAACGAGACGAATCGCATAGCATCGCATCGCATCGCTTCGAAATGAAAATCGAACAATTAAAAGCTTGTGGGTGGAGATGGCGATCCGATCTGAACCCGAGAACTCGAACTCGATCTGAACTACCACACCATATCACACACCATACCACACACCATACCACACACCATACCACGCAACTAATAATGTGAAATAAAAAATCATTTGGAAATTATTATTAAAAATTGAGTTCATGAACTATGTGTGTCTTCGTGTCTGTCTGTGTGCTTGATCAATTTTTATTATGATTATTTGCTGTTTCCCTCGTTTTCCGGTTTATGGCATTAATTATGAATAGCCATTGAAGCTAATTGAAGCCGTCCGTAGTGGAGTGGAGTGGAGTGGAGTGGAGTGTCCTCAAGTAACATAACTTGGGAACTAGCCATCAAACGCACTTCAAATTTCCCATGTGATATGTTTAGGCAGTAATTAGCTGATTTTCAATCGAATGAACCGTCCATCTATGCAGTGACCTCAAGTAACTCAGCTTGCAGTCCTCTTAATCAATTGAAGTTTCACATAACACTAAAGTGTGCTTAAAAAAATATGTGGGTAATGTGTTTTGCGATGTGTGTGTGTTTTTTAAAAACTATCCACAAATTAGTCTAGAGCAACACAGCTTGAAATTTCACTTATTGCTTTTAAATAGGGAGCAGAGTTTTTTAAGTCAGTCGTCTGAATAAAAGCATTATGTAACTCAGCTTGATCCTTAGTTAGTTCAATTAGTACTATATATTAATATATTTAAAAACAATATTCCATCATATAACCCCAAGTAACTCAACTTTCAGCCATACAATCAATCATAATTAGTAGTTAAATAGTTTATAGTAGCCCGTCTCTCAACTAACATTCATGTAACTCCGGTTCCAGTTGCTAGATCAACCAGAAACTTCACATGTTTGCTGTAAACACCAAAATTAGTACACATTATTAGTGTCCAGCACCCGACTCTCAACTAGCCGCATGGAACTCAGCTTGCTGCCACTGCCATCAAATCAAGCTGAAAGTTCACACTTACGCCAAAGGGGAACTTTGGGGGGAAAGATCCAGCCAAATCGCCACACGGCAAGCAGCCACAGCGGCGACACTAATTGAGCATAAATATCATAAATATCATAA